GCAGTTACACACACAGACACACACACACATTATCAGGTATGCTTGTGTCTGAGTGTGTGTGTATGCCTGTTAAGGATTTGTAATTACATTCGGCATCATTCGGACCTGTCTTTGTTGCCCAGAGCAGCAACGGAAGAGAACAGGATGCGGAGGAAGCATATCTATGGCTTGCTTAAACAAACTGCGAGCAAAAGATTCGCCAGGGAAACACCTAAATCGAATCAAAAGAGATTATTCAAAAATATTTAAGATAAGGTTTCAAAATGTATATATAATTGAAGAATTATGGTTAGATGCGTCGGAAATGATTTTCTTTTTTCAAGTTTTATAATGCAATATTGGGTAATTGCAAAAGCAAATATGTGAAGGCCGTACTATATAAATCTTAAAGCGATTAATACAAATTAATCAGAAGATTCGGACGAAATGCCAGAGTTGATAGCGAAGTTTTTGTATCAATAAGCTGGTCCCTTTAGCAGGTTGTTGTAAGGTTTTTGTGTGAAACTCTTGATAAAAAAATCTTGATCATAAATTATTTTAGTAAGCCCTATCATTGCAGTCCTTTGAAATTGAAGAAAACATGCCTTTGATTTTGAAAATTAATTATGTAATTATGTATAAAACTTTAATTGTGTTAAAAGCAATTTCGAAAAGTATCTACTGAGTGAATATCTGTGGCCTTGTTTGCCCCTTGCTTTGGGCCGTAATTATGCATTATGCAATGCAATTATCAGTCTGACAGTTCGGTTAATGCCACAACCCTATGGCTAACTAGCCCCGACTCCATAGCATTTTGCATAGTCATAGACACGGCACACGTGGAACACTCCTAAACAATAAGAAACTGTCTTGAGGCTCTGCCACCTGCCCGGTTTACACACGCAGACATTTTTAATTAAACGTAAAATTTTTGCGCTATTGATTAGTTTCCGAAGGCTGGCGAAGGGAGCCACGCGAGAGCATGTAAAATTGTGTAGCCCCAGTTATTGCCAACGCATTAGTATTAGCGCTTCAAATGACGTGACTTGCCCGTGTTGGGCCCGCGGGGGGAGCTTGCAACGCGGCAGGACTTGGGCTGCCGTCAGGACTGACACGCGAACAGCCGGTCTGCGGGCCTGCCATTGTTCGGCTGGCAGGCCACAGGCGGCGGGGAGTGAAGTGAAGTGTGGATGGTAGCGAGTTTTGGTTGCCAGTTTGGCGTCTTTTTAACACAATGACAGTTAATTAGATTGTAAGGATAGGTAAGGGATATATGCAGGTATAATGTTAAGTTTTCTATGCAGGTGCAATAGTTTCCCGCCCGCAAAACTTTATGTCTGCCTGTAAATGAGCCTAATTGACTTGGTTGCGAAAGTGGTTAGGACAGGCAAGCTGGCATTGATTTTGCATGTAGATACGATAAATCGAATATAATGTAAAGTGTACGTACACAATTTGTTATGCAGATGTTTTTGTCAACCTTACATTTTGACTGTAGCGCAAATCAATTCAACCCTAATTAAACTTAATTTCATGCTACGAAATTGTCTCATTTTAATGCCAGTTTTCCATGGCTTCAAGTAATGAAATCATTAAAATTGTTTAGAAGCAAATTTTCAAAAGGCATGCAGGACACACATATACACGCACACATTAGTAAACAGCGCCATGTTAAATTTATGTGGCTAGCTGAAGGTAAATATAATAAGCACATATATACTTTTATACACACATCCATTTCGAGGATATACACGCAAAGGACATTGCCTTGAGCCGGCCGAGAGAAACATAGACACTGCTAAAGTTGCGAGCGGCGCATTTAAAGGCAAAGATGCCAAGCTACCCCCATGTCGCCCCCAGCCTGTGCCAACTGCCAGCCGCGTACGCTACTTAAACCCTTGGCCAAAACTATGTCCCAGCCCAATGTGGGGGACAACGGCGGCCAGACATCGAAAACATGATTTTAGTGTTTTCAAATTTGAATTTTAAACAAGTCATAATATAATTTGGCTAAGCAGTAAAGGAAAAAGCAACATCACAAGCACAAAACCAAAACCCCATACTGCAGAAACCCCTTGTTAGGCCCTTGTCTGTGTCCACTTGCTGGGCTTTAATCCGGCAGAGAACCCGAGCCATGCCCGTATAACCCAACCCAGTCCGGCAGCTACGCAGCTCGAGAAAATTAGCTTAAGCTGAGGCCCAGCTCATTTTTCGTTTGGCGTTTTTCTTGCTCACCAAATTGTGAAATTTAAATTAGATACAAAAGTAGCTCAAGCTCACTGTTTATATACATTATATATATGTATATATAAATCCTATATGCTTATATACAGGGCTGCATGGTGGGTGTTCGGGTGCAGTTTGTCCGCGTCGGGCAAACTATCTCACACGAAATATTGTAATTTTCTTCCAGCTAAAGACGTAAACGGATATTAGCAGCAAATGTATCCCCACGTCATTTGTAGTCCTTAACGTCGTCCTGCCGTTGACTTTGCTTACAGCAAATGGCAATGGAAGCGCCCTTTGTTATCGAATATGCTGATTAGTTTCAGCAGGGTTGATATATCGCCAACTGCAAACTTTCAATTAATTGAGCAATTACAGTATACAAATAGATCCAGATAGCGCGATAATGCATGGGAATGAGCTACTTACAGCATCGAATTTTTTTTTTTTTGATAATTATATAGAAGGTACCTCTGAGTATAACAGTTACTTAATTTAAATGCCCCATATATATCAGTCAATCGATATTCGGACAATACAAAGACAATACTAAGTCCATCCACATATGCTTACAGTCATATAAATATCGAATTATCAATATTCTCTATATGAAAATGTCATCTCTCACTGTATGTATGTGCTCATATATATGAAAGTGTTTCATTCGAATTATTTAACAGAAGCTCTTTAAAATCAAAGTACCAGCTTAAAATAGCTATCTGAATTGATAATAATCGATTTTGAATAGAGTTATATTATACCACATTTGATGCATATCATTTTCCACTGTTTTCATAAATTACCTAGAGAATATGTAATAAAAACACATGATTGACCGAATAAGTAATTAGGCAAGATGTTACATAAAATGTACTGTATAACACAAACTATCATATGCCAATATTTAATATGTCGTCTAATATCAACTTTTCGATATTCGCTATGCCAAGTGTCATCTCTAATTGCTAGTGCTACAATGTAAATCGAAACGGCTTTTGCCGCATGGCAGCTCGACTGGGCTCGACTGGGCTTGGACTGCTGTCGCGGGTTTGCTTAAAAGGGACTAAGTATATATACACACTCACACACACACACAAACATATATAGTTTAAATCATATAGTAGTTGCTCTGCCGCAGTCGACGTCGCTACACTGTAAATATGCCTCGGTGGGCCACTCGGAGTGTGGGCGTCGCATTTCTAGGGCGTTGTTATCGTCAACTCGACTTGCATACATTTTCCATTCTAATTTCTAATTATTTCAATTATGTGAGTGTGTGTGTGTGTGTGTGTGTGTGTGTATGTATGTGTTTAGTGGTTGTAGTTGTGGCTGTCTGACCAGCTGGGTGGGCTGTGTCCTCGACCTGCCGGATTCCCCCATGCCAAGCACCATATAGCCTGTCTGTCTATGCGAATTAATTAAGTGTTTTCGTGCGCGGGCAAAATCCTTTTGCGGTTCAGCTGCCTCGTGGGCTGAGTAAAAGTTATAGGGCTTAGCTAAGGCTAAGGCGTTCTGTCCATGTGTTTACGCTCGTGCATGTGTGTGTGTGTGTGTGTGTGTGTGTGAATGTGGAGCTGAGAGAAAATCAATTATAAATTAAACATTTATTAAAGAAAGCATTGCCTTGCCCAAGCAGCACAAGTTGAGCTCCGGCCCACTATGCCTATGCAAATCAAGCGCCGCATAAATAATGCGACATCATTATTTAGGCAGGTAGGCGAAAGATTTAGCTGCGGATGCGGCCAGAACGTTTTGTCGTCAAGCCAGCGAGGGCAGCCAAACTATCTCAGGTAACCAAGGCAACCAAGCCATCCAACCATCCATCCATCCATCAATTATGTTGAAGTCGAGCTTTGCCTTTTGGCAGCTGCTTAAATGTGATTCCACTCATTTCGATTGTCTCCCTCTTGATTATGCACATGCATTTGGTAGACGCGCTCGTACATCAAACTCGAAGCTCTCAGCCCGTTGCTGGCAGTCGAACTCAAATAAATGCGGCCCGCATGCATATACGATCTACAAATATATGTATCTGCGACCATATGCTGATAGATGCCGAGTATAACTGATTTGTGTGTATATATCTGCATTGGTAATTTGCTATAAAGCGAATGTAATATGGCACGCAGTGCCCCTTGATTTTCTTTCCTTCAGACTTCTACAATAATCGTCTTTTAAGATAAGGTTTAAAATTTTTGGCCACGGAAGCATACATACCCCAAAAATTGATAGCCTACAGCTTGGACCTGCCTAGCCAAAAGATCGCGTCTAACATATTTAATTGTTATTTCTTATTTTATTTTAATTTTTGCATATTTCCCTTTAACCCATAACTCATCTCTAAAAGTACTACCATATTTTTTTTATTTTCATCCCAAGTCTTAAACATTTCATTAAGATCGGACTATAGACAGCGAAGAAAGTTCGAATGTTTGTTACGGCAGCTTATAGCGGAGTACAGGGTATATGCTAGTCAGGCACGCTTGACTAGAGCAATATTGTGTGCATTTGCACATGCGCAGCAGGAAGCCCAAAGATACTTTGCATGCCAGATGAGAGACTTGACTGCTCTTACTCTTGCCTTTCTGTTGTTTTGCATTTACATTGTTAAGTAGCCTGGACCCGGGTGTACCCGCTAGTATAATGTAAAAAACCTTTCCCTATTTACTTTTGAAAAAAAAAAAAAACCATCAAAGCAGACGTTAATATGACTGTCATTGATTTTCTGGGTAGGAATGTGTAGCCTGAAAACGTTCAGTCTGCAATCAACTGCGACAGTTGAAATTTGATTTTAATTTTTCCTTTTCGGCTTTCTGGAAAAATTTTCAAAATTTAAATTTCCCACTTTTTGGTTCCAAATTTTTAAAGCTCAATGTCGATGTGGAAACAAGTATCTGGTAGGTCTCGATGCCTGCTAGGAAAAGCGGGGATTCTAAATTCTGTTGGGCTTCGACGCTTTTCGGAGAAGGGCCACAATCCCACTCCAACATGCATGGAGAGAAGTAAGATTTCGCAACAGAACACTGACGCTTGCGTCGATGACCACCCCAAGGCACGCAAGGCGGAGAATATTGAAGAAACTTTTCCCTTCTACAACCTTATAAAATTCAGCAAGGATTGCTGTGAAATGGATTGCGCGGAGCTAGAGTTTCCTGGCTTTGACAAGTGTCTCTACAAAGAATCAGACAAGAACAAGCGCAAGTACCAGATCACCTGGGTGGAGTGTCCACCTATTGAAATCAAGCCAAAGAAGATCTGTTGCCATGTCAAGGATGCGCGCCCACCTTTTGAGCGTCGCAAGCCCAAGGAAAGACCCAGCACGGCCTGCAAGCCACCTGTCGAAAAGTGTGAGGAATTGGAATGTCCAAAACTTACAATGCCCCACTGTAGGCCTGTGCGTGTTCCAGTCAAGTGCCAACGTATCAGATATCCCTCTGATTGCGTAAAGGTGAAGGCGCCATATCCAGCCTTCTCGGAGTGCTCCCGTCCCAAGCTGCGCAAGAGGCGCAGATCCGAATGCCATTGCTGGGATGAAATACCAATGTGCGAGCTGCTCAGGGTTCTAAACAGGCGTCTCATTACCGGCAATATAAGCATGAATCCCTGCAAGCCCTAACAAACTGATGGTTATCAAGGCTACACATTGACTGGGTGTTTAGCTAGAGTAGCAGACAGTATAATTGGCATTAATAGAATCAATTGATCGTAGACTCTATTTGAAAATCAGAGGCGTTAATAGAACATTATTCATTCGAATTCATAATAAATAAATACTGATTCTAAATATTTGTTGTTTTCCTCCAATTCTCGGCAGAGGCTTCGGTATTACCAACATTTTTAAAGCTTGAAAATGGTTTCCTTTGTAGCCAAAATTGCTAAATAGAATCTATTCTGTTGGCGGTTTATCAATTAATAAAATTCATTTTAAGCAAAAAAATTAATTTGCGGCGGGCAGAGCATATACATTTATACGATCATTCTTTATAGTTTATAGCGGCGTAGTGGATTCTTTTGCACGAGTTCAGGTAGTCCGATTTTGGCTGCCACGTTGCATGGCAGCCATAGCTAGCTATTTTCAAATCAAAGTAGGCATATATTCGATTTTCCACACAGTTCGAAAGACATTTTCGTAGCATTGTCAGATTCAGACATGATTTGGTCACAATAAGAACAAATTTAAAATTTTTTTTCTTTTCGGCATAACTTCCAAATTAAATTTATTTATTTTACTTTGTTTTTGATTCGACACTTACAAAATGTCTGGTATGCTGTCTATTGCGAAAGGCGTTCGTGTCGTAAGCCCCATGGTTCGTTGTATGTCCTCCAGCTCAAGATTGACAGCGCTGTTGCGTTCGAGGACGATAGGTGGACAGGGATTCTTACAGAGGCATACAGAAAATGAAAGATCCTTGTTGGCGGGATTCCCAATTGGAGGCACCATAAGCGAAAAGCAATTGAGTAACTATCCTTTGGAGAAAGAAAATAAACCCCGCACTTTCAACCGTGGGATGTCCGTTAGGAAGCAAAAGGAAGAAAAACCATTGAGTGTCGCCGGGGAGGATTTTGGAAGAAAACCAACGAGCAAAGAGCCAATTCTCGAAGGGGAGATCTATTGTCGAAAACAGAAAGAGGAAAAGCCGCTAAATACGCATGGAGAGATCTTGTGCCGGAAACAAAAGGAAGGAAAACCCCTTCGAATAAATGGAGAGATGTTTGGCAGAAGACAAAAGGAAGAAAAACCCGTCAGTATAGATGGAGAAATCTTCTGCAGAAAGCAAAAAGAAGAAAAACCCTTCAGTATAGATGGAGAAATCTACTGCCGAAAACAAAAAGAAGAAAAACCAATCCTTACCAGTGGAGAAATATTATCCCGCAAGATAAAGGAACAAAAGACCGTTCGTGGAGAAGTCTTCTGCAGAAAACAAAAGGAAGAAAAACCTACCAGTATAAATGGCGAGATCTTCTGCAGAAAGCAAATGGACGAAAAGCCAGAGGCTATAAGACAGATCTTCTGCAGAAAACAAAGGGAAGAAAAACCCATCAGTACGGATGGGCTGATCTTTGGCAGAAAACAAAGGCAAGAAAAGCCCGTTGGTACGAATGGGGATATTGGCAGAAAACAAAAGGAGGAAAAACCCGTCGTTAAAAATACAGAAATCATCTGTAGAAAGCAAAAGGAAGAGAAACCTATGACTACCAATGTTTTTGGCAGAAAACAAAAGGAAGAGAAGCCAGTCAGTCTTAATCCAGAGATTATCTGCCGCAAGCAAAAAGAAGAAAAACCATTTGAAATCATCAAAGACATCCTCTGCAGAAAACAAAAAGAAGAGAAGCCTATGACTGCCAATGTTTTTGGCAGAAAGCAAAAGGAAGAGAAGCCAGTCAGTATGAATCCAGAGATTATCTGCCGCAAGCAAAAGGAAGAAAAACCCGTTGAAATGGTCGGGGAGGTCCTCTGCAGAAAGCAAAGAGAAGAGAAGCCTTTGACTGCGAATGTTTTTGGCAGAAAGCAAAAGGAAGAGAAGCCAGTCAGCCTGAATCTAGAAATTGTCTGCCGCAAGCAAAAGGAAGAAAAACCCTTTGAAATGATCGAAGAGATCCTCTGCAGAAAACAAAAGGAAGAGAAGCCTATGACTGTCAATGTTTTTGGCAGAAAGCAAAAGGAAGAGAAGCCAGTCAATATGAATCCAGAGATTATCTGCCGTAAGCAAAAGGATGAAAAACCCTTTGAAATGGTCGGAGAGGTCCTCTGCAGAAAGCAAAGAGAAGAGAAGCCTATGACTGAGAATGTTTTTGGCAGAAAGCAAAAGGATGAAAGGAAGAAACCCTTTGAGAAAGTGCTTTTGCCTGATAATTTACTTAAAGCAGGTCGCTTGTCTGTCGGATCGGCAACTAGACAATAAGACTTTCCTGACGGCAAATTTCTTATCGTATGCGATGTACAAAATAAAAAAATAAATAAATTGTTAAATTGAAGCCTTATTTGCTTTATTAATTCCTTTATTCAAATTGTAGGTAAGGGACAGAAGCAGATAGATTTGGTGAACCTTTTCGGTGCGCCTGTCTGCTTTAATCTCAAAGACAAAAAGCCTTGAACGTGGGCCGTCGAATGGATTGCGCTGAACGATTTAATCGATTCCGAAATCTTGATAATTGATAAGATGGTAAATCGATTAGGAGTGTAAATGTTTAAGGCCTAATAATCTTGCATTCTCCTCTTGTTCCGAAAATCAAAACTATAGATTTTCAGCATTTGTTTTTGAGCGGATATCGGAGGTTCTATAGATAAATTGGGTAATCTGGGTATTAAGGTTTTATAGGGTGTACATAATTAAGATACCTTATCCGAAGAACCCCACACTTGAATAAAATGTATTTTAAAGTCCATGCAATTTTTTATTAAAATCACACTAGACCCAAAAAAAATATATATATAAATAGCCATATTACTAATATTGTTGGGCTGAGAGCAAAAGATTTTTTGTAAAATTTATTTCGGGCCGGGTTCAGAGTGTCTCTTATGTATGAACTCGCGACAAGAGCATTCGTAATTTCACTTCACTTGAAAGAATCGTCTGACGACGAGCAAAATTCCTGAGGTGGTTATCAGCGACCTAGTTGCTTGTTATTTTTTAATGCACCAATATTGAAACCAATTTTCTAGCTATGATTGCATAGTCTTGTATCTTTAAGTTCAGTACATAAGTTGGTACTTTGTCATGAAATAAATATTAAATAATCGAAAGTATTACAAGGCACTAGATTAATATGGTTAAGTTAAAATAGCTATGTCAAACAGCACAACATCAAAGGAGCCCTTGCTTTTGGTAAGCTAAAGGGGTTTGCTTTGCCCGGGGATTAGTTGTGTTACGAGTGTTCGTTGGATAGATCTTTTGGAATTTCAAAAATTTATTTAGGATTTTCGGTTTTCTAAATTAAAAAAAAATTAAAATTCGTTTAAAATTTTCATTGCGAGAAAATATTCAGAATGCTCCGATTTCCCAAAAGATGTGGCGTAGGCAACATCATCTCGGTGGCTCGGCTGGGATCGCCTAGCCTGACAAGCCGACCAGTACGCCATTATTCGGACAAAGAAGAGTGTAAGCCAGTAACTGCCTCCAAGTGCGGTCTTGTGCTAAACGAATACACCTGTGGCTTAAAGCCCACTGAGATGTACGTTCCCAAGCCGAAGGTTACCCGTCCTCCCCTGGTGTCAATGTGGAAGATAGAGAATTGTGAACCGGACATATGTACTTTGGACCTTCGCTACGACATGAAGTATTATCGCATTTCAGATAAGAAGAAGCGCAAATACCAGGTGACTTGGAACGAATGTCCACGCCTTCTTGTCAAACCAAGAAAAGTTTGTCTCTATGAAAGAATGGTGCGCCCCAAGATAGAGCGTCGCAAGCACGCCAAGGTGGTTGCTGTTCCGCAGGTAGCGAAGTCTTGTATCGCCTTATTAGCAAAAGATACATGCGTGTACGTCAAAGCTCCTTGCTGCAAAGTTGGTCGCAGACCACCCAAGTGTCGTGCTGCCTTCCCCACTCCTGGCCAATGCGAAAAGCGCAAGACGCCCTATCCCAGCTTTTCCGAGTGCCAAAAGGATGCCGCGATACCATTACCGCCGGCAGAATGTAAATGCCTGAGTGCCTTTGCCTTGTGCGATGCATGGGCGGTATTACGTCGACGCGTTGCAAGGGGACAACAGCCAACCCAAAGTTGTGGCGAAGCTTAAGGCTTAGCTTGAGTTGCAAGATGCCCGACGAGCACGAGTTCTAGTATGAAATACTCGCAACGGATTGTGCAAATAATACTTACAATTATTCAATTTATTGCAAGAAACTGAAATTTAAAATAGCTTCATGCTTAATAAACGCAAATGCAAATTTTTATCAGATACCCTTTCGATATTTTATCATGGTTGCCGTCTATTTTCTGTCAGTGCTTAAAATTCTACAGACGTGCTCTTAAAATAGAAATTATTCCCAGAAATTATTAACACAAAATTCAATAATGCTTCGAGAAATGGCTTGGCATTTGCATTTGACATTGCGACACACTGCACGGCCAGTCGCAATTGCTCCTCGATTGTTTAGTAAGGATGCCTCATGTGGCGACAAGGCAGCCAAGTGCGACTCCAAAAACAAGGCCAAGCCTAGCTGTAAACGCACACGCAAGCCCCAGGACTGCAAGAAAACGTCTGCTCCTTACCCTAGCTTTTCAGAGTGTAGAAAAGAGCCAACTCCGCCGAAGTCACCCAGCGAATGCGATTGCCTAAAGCCGGACAAATGATTTAAGCTAATAGTAAAAATAAAACTGCAAATTATTCAAAGTTAAATGAATGTGAACGTCCTAGTTGGTGAAAGAAGGGAGATTTTTTGAAAAATTTTATTGGAGATATTCTCTTGCCAATAGAATATATATTATAGCTTTTCGTTTTCCGCTCTTGGAAAATCAATAAACATTCATCATATGCTGCCATTACTTTCAAATTGAAGACTTTTTCAAATTGAAAACGAAGTAACCCTAGGTATCTTGGGTTTATATCAAATATATGTGTTTTACAAATTATAACCTTTTATTACATGATTGGGTCTGTTACACAATTTTATTTTAAAACTGAAATTTGGGGGAAAAAATAAAAGAATAATATAAATTCTTGTTGTGTCTAAATTCTAAAAGCGAATATGCAAACATTAAAACAATTCTGGCGACTATTAAAAAATGGAGAGTTGAGCCTTCATCTAGCTGCCAACTCGTCTATACTGGATAATAAATGCTGGGACCTTCGCAAGCAAGCCCGCCAATCTGAAGCGCCCCAAAAAAAGCGACATTCCAGCTACGATCAAAATTTTTATCGACCGCGCTCTCGTGAGCGCCACTTATTCAGTCAAAATTGGTTGTCTAGAGAGGATGTGGTTCAAGGTGTGGCGAAAGAAGATAACCACAAGGCAGTCTGCGTTCAAGAGCCGGTTGAATCTGTACATGAGCTTTTGGGCGAGAGCCGCTTCGATTACATCCACTACAGACCGAAAAAACTAAAGGACCGATTTTATGTGCGTACTTGGGCTGATTTTGAAGATATGAAGAGTTTTGAACCGTTACACTCGCTTCAACCCAGCTGTGTGGCAACACAGCCAAAACTGGCCCATGAAACTATGTCATCCGTCAAGTTCAGAAAGCCCGCGGAGTTCAGAAAATCGGATGACCAGGACAAGAACATGGTTAAATATGAGTGTGTTGCCTGCAATCGATACTCTCGGACTCACCCACCCCTTTTCTTCCGACGTGTTACTGTTTAAGATACGATTAAATATGATTATAAATAATTCGAGAAAATATAATGAGGTTGTTATTTAAAAAAAGGGAATTATGCTAGCTGGGCATTGATTGCATTAAAGCTGCATATAAAATCGGTTTAAACGAAGGCTCTAGGCCAGACATTTAGCACATATTGTGAGGCATTATTTCAATGGTTTTTGTATTTATAGTTTCTCTCACAGCCCATTTACCAAAATAGGCCCATAAGAAAGATTTAACTATCCATGACAATCTCAGAACTTTGTATTTTCAAATGTGTTCCTAGAATGAAGCGACGGACAGAATGGCCGACGAATTGGATCGACTCGGATATAAACGGTTGTATGTGTATTTAATGCGGTCGAAAAAGTCTTTTTCTGTTCCATGCATTTGCAACCAAAAATCATTTCTACTACATTATAAAAAGTATGGGGTAATATCAAGCAAAATAAACATCAAAGTATTATCATTGATATTAAGAAAAACTTCATCAGGTTGGCTATGACTTTTACTTAAAATTTATCGGGAGATGGTCATGTGTTCCATACAACATTATTTAGTTTTTAGCTAGATTTTCTGGAGTTATGATCATTCCGGAAAAATAAAAATGAAAATCGTTCAGTAACAAAATATTTTTGGTTAATCACACGTTTGGGTATAAAATTTCTTCGAAAATTGTATTCTCTAACAAATCTAAATTGACGATGCGGTCTTTGAGAAAGAACTTTTCTCAGTTGCCGATGGCGGTAATACAGAGGTGTCCACATTCGCAGAGCCCAGGGCTTCTTTCGGCCATTGGCTCTTCGAACGTACTAAGCTCCAATCGTTGCTTGGACACATTGTATGGTGCAGAGTCATGTGAAGATTGCGCAGAGTCATACAGAATATCTCCAGCCCGAACTGACCTTAAGAAGATGGAAAAGCCAGATCCCTTTAAAAACAAGGATCCATGCTGGCAATCACTTCGTCGTACGGAGTACAAGTGCCGCACTGATCCCGAGTTTTTGCTGGATGCATTCATTGATGCAAAGAAGAAATGTCTCCAGGACCCCTGTGCATGGGATGTACCCCGTGCTGATTTAACCTACTACAGGCCGTCCGACAAATTAAAGCGCAAGTATCCACGCACTTGGATTAAGTGTGTGGTGAAGCGGCGCAAAGTTAAGATGCAGTGTGCCTGGAAGCCCGTTCCACACGAGCGTCGCAAGTTCCAACGTATACACAAGACATCGACCTGTGAAGCGGACGCCTGCGCTTTAGGTGCCCCTCATTTAAAGCTACAGATCTGCAGACCTCCAGAAAAAACGACGTGTCCACGTTTAACAATGCCATTTTGTAAGACAAGCGTTGTTCCACCCAAATGCAAAACTAGCGGCAGAAAGCCATCAAAGTGCCGCAAGCGTTTAACCAAGTACCCTGCATTCTCAGAGTGCCTTATAGATCCGTTACCGACAGCACCACCCGTCGAATGCAAATGCCTCAAGACCCCGTCAATGTGCAGTATTTGGGAATACTTCCGTAACAAGAAATCCTAGATGAATTCAGTTAAATGACGGATAAAATTACTTTAAAATATTAATGTCAATAATAAAATATGCTGAGCCACATACCTTTTAAAAGGTCTTATAACTAGGAATATCTACGCCAAAAATTAAACTTAGAGCAATTTGAGAATATCAAATTCGACATGTTTTAGAAGTTATTTATGGGTTTCTCATTTAGATCCGGTCCGATCCGACCGGTTGTGAGATATGTTATATTAGCAATGTTATATTAGCAACAGAAAGTCGGACCTTTGGAAGGTTACAGGATTGCTGTGAATCCGGGACAAGCGGTCGCCAAGGCAGTTGATACAGGTCAGAAATATATATACTTAATGGGGACGATGTCATAGCCGATTAAAAGTTGGTAAACATATGTATGAGAGGGTTACATCAGTTGCTCAGCTACGAAACCGAACGGGGAAGGCGCACGGCGACGAGCCGCGTCGATTACTTTTTTTTATACCACCCTCTTCTTGCGTCTTGGCATATATACCATTCAGGAACACATATATCATCAAATTTCACGTGACTTTTTGGGAATGAAACCTCAACACAACTTCTCCACATGTATGAGATTGTGCCTGACTCAAACAAGATTTATTCTATTCTGATGTTTATTTGTTCTTTTCAAAAATTTTCAGTTTTAATTTAGATTTACTGAAGGCAGTATCATTCCGTAAGAAATATGAAAATCGTTCAGCAATAAAAAATATTTTTTTTAATAGTTCAACGCGTTTGGGTACAAAATTTCTTTGAAATGCAGTTCCTGAGAAAGGGCTTTTCTCAGCTGCAGCTGGTGATGGTACAGAGGAGTCCACCTTCGCAGAAACCAGAACTTGTTTCTACCATTGGCTCTTCGAACCTCCTAATCTCCAAGCGTGGCTTGGATACTTTGTATAAATCAGAGTCTTGTGAAGATTGCGCAGGGTCGTACAAAATATCTCCGGTCCGAGAAGACATCAAGAAAATGGAAGAGCCTGATCGCTTAATAAACAAGGATCCATGCTGGCAAGCACTTCGTCGTACGGAGTACAAGTGCCGTACTGATCCAGAGTTTTTGCTGGATACTTTCATTGATGCAAGCAAGAAGTGTCTAGGAAACCCCTGTGCATGGGATGCTCCTCGTCTTGATTTGACCCACTATAAGCCGTCCGACAAGCTGAAGCGCAAGTATCCACGCACTTGGAATAATTGTGTGGTAAAACAGCGCAAGGCTAAGTTGCAGTGCGTCTCCGAGCCCGTTACACACGAGCGGCGCAAGTTTGAGCGCACACAAAAGATTTCGGCCTGTGAAAAGCCACCCTGTGCCCTAGGATCCCCACATTTAAAACTACAGGTCTGCAAACGGCCAGAAAAAAAGTTATGTCCACGTTTAACAATGCCGTTTTGTAAGTCGGGTGCTGTTCCACCTACGTGCAAGAAGGGCGCCAGAGGGCCAAAAAAGTGCCACAAGCGTTTAACGAAGTATCCTGCTTTTTCAGAGTGTCTCATAGATCCATTGCCGATCACTCCACCTATCGAATGCAACTGCTATAAGACTCCACCAATGTGCAAAGTTTGGGAATACTTCCGCAACAAGAAATCCTAGACAAATCGGACCATAAGATAACGTATCCAGTTAAATGACTCATAAATATTTCATATCAAAGTGCCATAAATAATATGTTGCTCAGCAACACAAATCCGATAGACAGTAATCAAATTGACTAAAAGAACTGTCGACAAAAATAGCGCAAGGAATGCAGAAGGAGCTTGTAAATCCCGTTTTCGATATCCGAGAGAAGTCAAAATTGGTATATAGGTTCTTAAACAAAATTCTGCAATTTTCACCACTAATTGAAAATCCTCTTTGAAGGTGGATAATAAAAATTAATTTTCGAGAATGCATTTTTTTTATGGGGAGCTGACGTAAGAAGGAGCACGACACGGCTTAAGGTGCGCACCCTATGTTGAGTGCCTATAAGTATGTAATCTACGATTTTGTTTAGTATGCATGTTTTTCAAATGTGTTACTGGGTACATCAAGGTAAATAATAGATCTTACGATATACGGACAAGGAATATTTGTCAAACGTAGTAGGATGTTCGTTATTTATGGCAGACTAATTATATTTAATATAATATCAGAATTTATCAAATATAAGAAAAGGATAATAATTCGTATAGTTTATTTGACAGCTATTCCGTAAGTTAATAGTTCACATATCTCATGTCATCTAGTGTCCTGACTGACTGAACCGCAACCAAGGCATAGCACAAGGCGGATGAGCTGAAGTGTCCTCTTATAATTGGGTCAGTTTTTACAAAAAACTAAAATAAGTCAGCCATACAATTGAGCTTAGAAATCGTTATGTAAGTAGACTGATTGGTTTAGGTGTCCAATCAAGAAGTCGCCGGTTCAACTTATTGAATTTGATACTCACAAAGAAATACAAGAAAAGATTAAAAAACAACAATTAAGTGGAAAGTAATGCAAAGCTAATACTAATAATTATGTTTCCCTTGACAATATATTTTATTTTCGTCTTTGGTCAGTCAATATAGTATAGCAGTTGACTAAGCGTCCGCAGTAGAGAAGGGCTCAAGCCCCTGAACAGACGGAACATAGAAACACTTTTTTAAATTTAAAATAAAAAACAATGTGTTTTGAGTAAATCAAAAGAGCTAATTCCTTTGCCCGATTAGCGCGAGCTGACTTATATGAACAGTAACGTGGGCGGTAAGGAGCTTCCTTTTAACCACAACAAGGACTACGGGGCCGTTGGATGTAAATTTTCAACATTAATTTGTTGAGGCTAGCGAATCCGAGCAACTTCTATTGTAATATAATTCAAATTCTTTGTATTTCATAGCTTACTCTATATTCAGTCTTTGATTTCCTTTTCGGCAAACCTGAAAATTATTTTCAAATTTCAAAATAATGCCTTCTAAGCCGCTATTAACATCAAAGCTGTTGCAGCGTCCAGGAGTATTGACTAAAACTCTGGTATTCCATCCACAACGAGCCTACAACTGGGGCAACTACGACGCCAGTTCTAAAAAGTGCTGTAAAATGCACGACGCTGAAACGTATAAATGCTTAGATGGTAAATTTAAATGCAAGCCCATTAAAATTCCGAATAAATGTTACAAGCGAGTCGATGAGGAGTATGTGTCGTTTGGTGAATACCCCATGCAATTGTTTCACATCTTAAGACCCGCAGAGGTTGATTGTGGCCTAATCAAGCATGATATGTGCTACTATAAACCATCAAACAAGAATCGTCGTTATCAGCGCACATGGCCCGAGTGTCCACTTATTTGGCTGCACCCAAAAAAGACCTGTTGCCCTGATCCGGAGTATTATCCGCCTATTTGTCGACGCCAGAGGCCACCACCACGGCCACCAATGACTACGATCGAAAAGTATTTGTACATACTTGACAAGGAGTGCAAGTCGAAGTGTCACAGGGATGTGACGCTGAAAAGGAAATGCAAAATAATCAAAGGACCCAAAAAGTGCGAGAAGGTAGAGGCCCCATTTCCAAGCTTTTCCGAGTGTAAAAAAGACTCCATAGAGGGTTACTGTAACACAGAGTGCGGCTGCAAATTGGCACCCTCTCTCTGCGACTTATGGAGTGTGCATCATCGCAACACAAGTTTGATTAAGAAGTGCACTGAAGCTATAGTTGGTTACTGTCCATTTAAGAATCGTGGACGCCCTATAGGCTAGAGACCAACAAGAAGGCTTGCGATAATTCTGGGCGAAACGCTTGCTGAGTGGGTTAACAGGTTATGCTGATTTCCACAGATCTAGTCATTCGATTCTTTTGATACAATATTCGGCATTTGCTATCAAAAATAACTCCAAATTCTAAATTTATATTCGGAAATGGTACTAAAATCTAAATTGGCTCGTTTATTGTCACCAGCCAGGTGCCTCTGGAGCGTGCGTGGTGGTTTATCTAGCTCTCGCAATTTAGCTAAATTTTCACCCACATTTCCTGATCCACCCTGCCAGCCCCCCGATCTGCTTTGCCACTACGTGAAAGATAAATGCACGCCGTCCCGTGATATTCTGGAACTTGAGCTCCCCTTTGACAAGCACATGCTTGATCTAGAGAGGCTGAAGCGAGAAAAATTGTTGGAACCGCCGTGCTGCGTTTTACGCACGGCCCATCAGCATCCCTGTGTGGGGGTCTATCCAATACGGAAGAAGATGAAGAAGGAAGAGTGTCCGCCGTTCCGTTCTATGTGGGAGATACAGTGTCAGACACATGAGCAACGCTACTGTAAAGGAATGTTACCGCGCTTTGATGAAATCTATTACAAGCCGTCGGTTAAGTGTAGATGCTATCAGCGCACGTGGGTTGAATGTCCGCCAGTGAAGGAACGTTTAAAGAAGGTCTGTTGCCTGGATGGCATTAGTCCGCCGGAGGTGCATAAGCGCAACAAGGAGCGCTGTCCCCAAACGACCTGTATGTTTGACTACTCACGCATGCGACACATTTGCAAGAATCGAGGGGCTGAATCTGTGTATCGCTGCCCCAAGATACATTGGCCGTGCTGTAAGCCAGCGCGCTGTAATAACAGCTGCCGTGTTCATAAGAGGCTCAGCAAGTGTAGAAGGCTACGAACTCCGTATCCTTGTTTCTCGGAACAACGCCCGAGGTACCAACCACTGCGAGCTCGACAGTGCCACGAAGAGCCCATTAGCAGGTGCGAAATCTGGCGAATGTTGCACAAACGAGAACTTAGTGGATTGAAAAATTTTTACTGCTAGTCCAGCCACGATCTCGAGCAGTCAATGAAGATATACCCCATGGTCTTTCATCATTGATTGTTCTAGAACGTAATTTGCAAAAGCCTCACACACTTTGAACGGAAAGCGTTTTACGGACACACAAAGGCGTAGGCTTAACCCAAGACAAAATTTTACAGAAGATCCACATACGAGCCTTGGATCATTCAATTTGACAAATGTGATATAGGCCAGCAGCGGTACCTTAACAACACTGTGGACCCATCCTCCTAGCAAGGATAAGCTACAGTGTTTCGTTAAAGAACGCGTCAGCTGCTGTATACTCGTTGAAGTCAAATAAAGGACATATCAGCTAGAATTTTATTTTATTTGTACGTAATGCAAAATTATATCCAATTACACGACTTGAAAACTTTCTAGGGCTCTGTGATAGTAATTTTAGCCGAAAAATAACCGGTCCCAGAATCCAGTCTGTGAAGTGCTCGCAGAAGGGCATAACGCATCAGTTGCCTTGAATCGGGATCTTCCATATTTGTCTCAATTTCAGTTTTGCCAGCTTTTTTAATCTTATCGAGGTCAGCATCTTGATTAACTCCTTCGTACTTAACGTTCTCTGGATGTTCAGATTTTTTAGTTGCTTTTGCCGCTTCCTTTGCGTCTGGAACTGTTATCGGCACCTCAATAGTTCGAAAGGGCTTATAAGAGGGTATGGTACTGTCGTCTCTGCCCTTCTGCTGATAAGGCTCCGGGTTCTTTGATTGATAGAAACCGTCGTTTTGGCTACGGGAATCATGTGGAGTTTTATTAGACAAGCGCCTAAGATTTTCTTTTTGATGCAGAATTTTCAGCTTGCCGTCATGTAATCCATCAATTCGGCATGGAGCCTCACAGTATTCAGATTGGCCCATCCAGTGCCGCGACCTACAGCCAGAGTATTTCATGCTATTGTAGACTTGGGCACTCTTATAGCCATGGATATCAAGCAGGTCCACATTCCGATTCTTGCCTGGGCTTAAGCCAAGAATTTCGCCATCTGCCTCGTAATTATCTGTAGAGATAGGGCTCTGGTTAATGTTTGACTGCAAGTTCTTCTGAGAGGCATCTATTGAATATGCATTATCTGCACTGTCTTGCAAGGGATTACGAACTGAACCATCAGATTCGACTTGTTGGCTTATGTATTCGTCCAACATCTCGCCGGAATCAAAATTCATTTTATTTATGAATGGCACATGGAATTCTTCGACCCCGATGCAATTATCGTCTGTTATTTCGGCATCTCGCGTTCCGCACAGCTGTATTATAGACTTCACATTTCTTTCCAGCTCCGGATCCATTTTCTGTTCACTCCAAGTCTCGGTTAATTCATCTGGAAAATCTGATAGCACCGAGCTGTGAAGCTGTCCATCCTGATCATACTCAGATTCATTAGTTTGTCCGAGCTGGTCACTGTAAGCATTCATGCTACTATTCTGTTTGCTTAGATTACTTCCAGCGTTCAGATCTTCGTTACTTAGGTCCTGGTATGTTTCATTGCTGTTGTTACTATACGTTTCCTTCGGTACAGCATTTTCATTATGTGGGAATTCGATCCTGTTCGCATTCTGATGTTCATTGAGATGAGATAAGCCCTCAGCGCTCAGAACTTCCCCATCCAACGGCGGACTTTGCTCTGAGGTACTACACCGTCTGACAGGCATCCATGAGGGCGGGGCTAGGGTGCAACGACATAATGAGCGTACATAATAAGTTATCCCAAACAGACGGGACATCACAGCGGCTGTAGTTCATAGACAAGCGCTGATAATATTTGTATATAAATTTTGGTGCCGAAAATTTAGAATTTCCAAAGATAAGTTAAGAGCTTACGATAATTTGTAAAGTTCAAGAGCTACAGTAGACTAGTACAAGAAAATTATTCTATTAAATAATGTAACTGTCAGGGGCTGCTTGGATTAAGGGGAAAAACTTAAAACGGAATCTTGTCTTAATCCAGTATACAGAAACTAAAGGAGCTATTGCGACGCGTGAGTAAAAATGTAACCAAAACTGGAAAACAAACCATCATCGACAAACGCAAGCACTTCAGGAAGTCAACAAGGCTTCGGGTGAAATTCTAAAACAAGTTGTTCGCAAGCGGAAGAATGGAAGATTCTTTCGCTAATGACCGAACCGAGGGAGGTTATAGAATTCTAGAAAAATTCAATATAGATATCGCTTGAAATTTATAACACACTTAAGAGAATAACTGCATAATAAAATAAAGATAATGTTTGTATTAGAACATTTATATTGTTAATATCTTTTCTGAATTGCACACTTGAGCATTTTGCCCCAGGCCTTAAATATATAGAAAATCCTTCTAAACTATACTGCATATTTAGCATCGGAGAGGAAATAATACAGTATAGTTTAAGTGGACTTAATTTATTCGCAAGTGGGGCAAAAGCAGTATTTTTGGGAAATCCTTTCCTTTCTGTTCTGAAAGCGGTAGGCTTCACATATTGATATCAAGCTTGAGCAACCGCACTCCCGAGGACGTTCGGCTACTACAGCAGGGTCCATGCGATCGCATTCGGAGTAACTAGGGAAGGGGCATTTGGTCTTCACACAGTCGGTCGGTTCACGAGTTAATTGGCAGTTAGGCGGTATGCGGGACGCGCGACAGCACGGCATGGTTTGCCGAGGGCAGCCCTTGGCCTTCTGGTTGACGCAGTCCATACGTTTTTTGTCACGGCCCTGCATGCAACTGGTACGCGGACAGAGAGGCAAGCAACGCCGTGATATCTCGGGCGGAATGGAATCGCACCAGCAGCAGACGCGCTTGGGCACCATTCGAGGACAGCATTCCCACCACGTACGCTGAAACTGACGACACTTGTTCGATGGTCGATAGTACATCACGTCAAAGGGAATATCCGGGCACATGGGGCAACACTCGGGTGGATAATCCCATACGAGATTCCCTGCCCGCTCCTTACTTACTTTCTTTTCCCACATCGATATAAACTTGTCCGGCTTCCTTTTAAACTCTGATGCCTTGACAGGCTTTTCACAAATGTTATTCGAAATTCGCTTACTCGCGCAACAGGACTCATTTCGTTTTTCTGGACAATCCTGCTCGCTGCATGGCCGCACTGGAGGATCCGTTGGGCGACATGGCTTTGAGAGAAAGGTTTTGCAATCTTCAGTATTTGATACTGGGCAGTCCAGCGGGCGACGGGGATTATATTTTTCTCGCAACCTGTTAGTGCAATGGAAATGGATCTTGGGTATATGTTTCGGCTGACATCGCGTTATTGACCGAACGGTAACACCCGTGACCGCATTCCTTAGCATTGTAGAGATTAGCTTACGCTTATTAACAAAAGGAATAAATTTAAAATTTAATTGACATTACCGAAAGCTTATCCAAAAACTGTTATAAATGCCGGAAATATTTTTTGAACGATTGTTTTCACAAATTGTTTTCTCTGAGTTACCTAGCCAGGCTAACATGTGGGGGTTCGTAAAGGCCCAGACGTATCATTGACCATCCAATCTTGAATGGAGTTCCAATTTGGTTCCCCTACACAAGCCTTACGAGCTTAATGAAAGATTCAACCTTAACGAGAATAGTTGTTTATTTGTTGGGATATAAAGCAGCGGGGTCCTTCTGCCACAGTCGACTGTTGTTTATTCACAATAAAATATTGTGAAAGCAATGGGACTACAGCCGAAAGAGGAAGAAGGATCACGTTGCTGCATACTACAGATTAAAGACGAAATACAAAGAAGTACTTTGGACCCAATGGCACGGTGGAGGGATAATTAAAAGATTGGGCGTATTTGCGGCTTGGAATTAAGTAGAACATTGGCATACTTGGCCAGGACCTGATAGCGAGCCTTCGTTTTGGTCAAGGTCTGATCGAAAAATTGCTGACCTAGACCGCAAAAAACAGGGCGTCCATTGCAGAGCATTTCTGATGCGTCAAATCCATGAAAGTCGGCCAACAGCTGCGATCTTTGCAGGCCGCTGACTCTGGGTCTCGCGTCCGAATTGGCGTCTCTTTGTTGAGACTTGCCCTGCCCCTTTATAAAACCGTAGAGGTTGTCTAAAGGCTTGGGCCTTTCCAGGAGCGGCATTTGAAATTGATTTTCTACCGACTGGCACAGCGAATACTTGCGCTCGACGGGAACTACTCGTACGGTGGGTGGTGCAACATTTGGCTTAATCGATGCCACTGGAATGCTGCTGCGCAAGTTGCCCGTCTGCGCCTTAGAGTAACGCGTTAGGAACTTGGTCAGGCGCTCCGCACAGATCGTAGCCAGAATGGAGGTGCCCGCCATTAGAACTAGCTAATCTTGTTGCTAGATTTAGATCGTCTCTTCGTCTTATTGCCTGTTGTTAGTGAATTATTTAAAACAACAATAGATTTTGAAGATTTTGTTTACAATGATATGTGTGAGCTTAAAATCAATGCATTTGTTTGATTAACAGCAACTAGACAGTCGCTTCCCTTTGTGTATTCTTCAAGATTTTCACATGCAAACGGATCGAACTTTTTCTTTTAAACTCTCAAAATTTTGAATGTGAATATCTTTATACTGTTGTAAGTTTCGATTTATTCTCTCCTGGTTGCTGCTGATTTAAGTATTAATATATTGGCTCCGTTGCTTGGCTTGAGTTCTACGCACCGACAGTGAACAGCAACAGTAACAACAACAGTAATAACAAACGGCTAACAACAAACTGCGCATGTTTAGATTTAATTGAACATTTAGCCAAATTAAAATACATTTTATTACGCAGCCAAGAGACAAAGTCTTGCAGTGAAATGCAAAACAAGCCAAAACGCGCGCCCAATCAGCCAAACTTACCAAAAAGGCTAACAGGCAACCGGAGACAGACAGGGACGGAGACTGAGACAGAGACATAGACATAGACAAGGACTGAGACACTGGTAATGGAGACAGAGATCTTAAGTTGCTGGCCAGGCTTTAAAGCACGCAACGGTTTATTTGCCTTTTCGTATATTTTTTTTTCGGCTGTGAATTGTTGAATTTTTTTCTTATGCGAAATTTGGCACAGATTCGCAGCCATTTGAGACGGAACTAAGAGCCAAGTGGCCAACTGGTTTACAGGGTGCCTAGAAGGGGTGGTGCGGTGGGCTGGGGCCTGGAAAGGCAGCTAACATGCGTTCTGCAATTGTTTAATAGCCTAATTAAAATGTGCGCTCGAACAGGTTAAGAGCCTGGAAAGTTGTACAGCAGCAGCAGCAGCAGCAGCAGCGGCACATGCAAAAGCGCCGGCATCCAGTCACAGCTGCTGGCGCTATGTGACAGCTGACGAGTCGCAGTCACTGTATTGCAGTCACTGTCACTGTCACTGTCAGGCGGGTGGTTTGTCACTGCCTGCCTCAGCTTCTGCATTATTTTGTATTTTTCTCTCTGCATATTTCTTTTTTCGTTGCTTGCTCGCAATTACATTTGGTTGTTAATTGCATTATGCATATTTATGGACGGGCCCCCAGTTAGAGACTCAACTCCCGGACCCGGCACAATGCGGCTCATTAGCATACATCAGCGCGTTAAGCGCAGAATGAGTATCTGGCTCTGAAGGGTCTGAGTGGGTTTGAGCAAGTGTCTGAATGGGTTATATGTATCAGAGCTGTCTGTTAGTGAGTGCTAGCATCGCATCTCTGCGAACATGGGTGTCCGAGTGTGAGTGGGTCTACTTCTCTCCCCCAATCTGACATGCTCAACCACTCACTCTCTCTAACTCTAATTTAAATTAAAATATGAAAAATACTCGAGGCGACAGGGAGTGCAGCAAAGAGCGGACGAGCAGCAGAAAATGTGTGTGAAAATCAAATCTAAAATAGCTGCCGGACATAACATAATCAAATTGAATGTGGCCAGTCCAAAGCATAAGAGCTGTGAATGTTCATGCTTTGTGTGGGACTTGAAGACTTGATGACACGCATCTAAATTTAATGTTAGCATTTTCTTTACTCGTATAAATAAATGCATATGTTTTTGGATAATAAACTTCATAGCATTTCAATCTTGGCATTAAAGGTTAACGCATAAAACTTAAATACATATAATTATGAAATTTAACTGAGGTAAAATAATTTAAGCCTCTTTGGATAAATTACCCACTTTGCTCACTTAGCTGTTGCTTAATATGCCATAAAATATTTGAAGTTTCCTAATTCTCGATAAACTTAGATGTTTTAGCTTCAAGTACATAGCTGTCCTTACACTCTCCACATACCTTTGCATATCTGAAGGGAAAAACATTCAAGTGTTTCTTTTTGCCTTCTCAACACTCTACTTGGGGTGTCCAAGCAACTTCAATCAAACCTTAAGCAAACAGCTGTAGCTCAACCCACTCACCCACATGCCAAAATAACACACACACCCGCATACGCGCACACACACAACTCCGCTTATCGGAATTTTCTTGCCAGCCAAGTATTGTCCAAGTGGAAGTACTCGTGTATATATATGCCTACTCATAGTGTGAGGGTTTCTTGTGAGTGTGAGCTCCCAATCTCCCTAGCCAGATGCCCGGCTGCCGTTTGCTGTGCGCCTGCTATGACGCAGAGCTGTGCCGAGAGAGAAAGAGAGCGTAGGACAGTAATGAGTACGATGTGGTCAGAACTAAGCACGTGAGTGCAGCACGCTTGGAAAGTCGCGACAAATGGCGGTAATAAATAAATATGCCATTAACCCACTTGGAAAGCGGACGCAACGTCATTTCCACATGCAAAAATATGTGCAAATTTTAGGCGGCATTTGTATATCAATATGAGGCAGCGGAAAACTTTCTAATCGCACAATAATTGCAGGCAGAAAAGGAGAATAAGTTGCTGCAGCCGCAGCTGCCATGCAACAATTAAATGTTGCCTCTGCAACATGCTGCTAAGAAATTTGTAGTCATGTTGCCAAGCTCTTTTGGAGCTAACAGCGTGACCGTGAGCATATTCATCGACTGTGCAAGAATCACGTGAACAAATTGAAGAAATAATGTATGCCGTCTAGTCAGAATCTATTTGCTACTGAAATAAATACAAAATAAATGAAAGCTCGCCCTAGTCCAAATTTTGGATTAATCGAGCTGTATATATGAACAATAAATGCATAACGATAGAAAATAATTGACTAATTAACTAATAATCGATTAATCGAGAATAAATCAAGCATTGGGCAAGGCCCCACTCTTAAACAGCTAATAAAAACTCACACCCACTTTTGAGGCAACATTTACTTTGGCTTGGCGTAAAAAATAATAATAAATTAAATATAGATCATTTTTAAGTCGATAACTAAAACTCAATAAGACAACAATCATTTCAATTGGCCAGGGCCACAATATTCTCACGCTGCCACCTCTAATCAGCTGCTAAGCCATTTGCATTCACACCTTGGCAACATGTTGCCGGGTTAAGTGCTTGGCAACATAATATTGGCGATTGCGCGTCCACATTAATTTATATGCCGCGATTAGGGGCAGCCCCAAAAGAGTTTTTGTCCAACATCGGATTTTTGGTTCGACTGGCAATTTACAACTTTGACTAAATAAAATTTATTGTAATGACAGTCGCACGACATTTTATAATTAAGTCAAATTGTTGGCCAGCCAAAAAACCGGTACCGATACCTGGCATGCCATTTAGCTGATCTGGCTGATTGATGTGGCTGCTCTCGCCAGTACTCCATATGCGGACGCTCTATCGATGATCGCCAGAGAGAAGGGGGCGGCATAAGCTCAGTCCAGTACGAGCCAGAGCCAATGCCAATTAGGCCGACCTTAATATCCAGGCAGCCCCCCTCCGGCAATTAAATGAAACGGAATAAAACGATACGGAACAGGACCCGCTGATGGTAGCTAACTCGGGCCCGGGACAGCAATACGTATCGTTTAATTGAAATAATTACACATTAAGTGCATTAATTATTTTTTCACTCGCGTTTTGCAACCACATGCAAACGTGGCGACGCGCCTGAAAGTCGCCTGCGCCTTTTTCTCCGTAATTATTAATTTAAAGCATTCGACTCCGCTGGGTATCGTAGGATATAGCCACAATTAGTTGTTGTTCCAGCAGTTGTAGGCACAGCAGTAACAACAATAACAACAAGAACAACAACAACTGCAGTAAAAAGCAACGACAACAACTGCAACTTGCAACTCGTTTTGTTAGCTCATAATTATTAAGGCGAAATCATAATTAAAAATATATTTAGCCAGGTTTTGAAATATGCTTAGATGGCCGTGGGGCGACGACTCCTGCAACGAGCTCCAGTTCCAGCTAGCAGCTAGTTAATATATCTACCCATGGAGAGGGTGCAGCAAGACTGGCGATTTGAGGGTAGCTGAGTTAATTAAATTCAGCTAACTTCCTAGAAGTTGAGCTTAACACGTTGTTGCTATCTTGTACAATTCAAGAATCAGGTATTATTTAATCAGGGTAAGATTATAATAATTGAAAGATTTTAATGAGGATAGAAGGAAATATATATTTTTAAATTTGCTTCAAGTTAATGACTTGCAGTTCTGTGTCATATATACATTATCTAAATATTAATTGCTACTTGGAGAAACTGGTTGGTTTCTCGTGGAGTACTGAGTCTAATTAAAGGTATTGCAATACTACATTTTTTGAAAACCGAACTCCTTATAATGTATGGTTCGATTCAGTTTTGGGTTCACCTGTTATTCAACCGATTAGAGTTTCTTCTCATGGAGAATAAAATATTCTGATTCCGGGTTCAAACCAGTTCGGCTTAAACTAGGCTTTCAGTCTTAAAAGCAGTAATATAAAATGGTCTTAGCTAAAAAAGTAGCTCAAAGCCTAACAATTTCAAAAAAGATTTTAAGTGAACGCCCAATCACAATCATTTCATACTAATTTCTGCTTTTGCCATTTTCTACTTAATTACGCCCAGTTCTGCCAGCTGATAGCAAGTTGTAATACGTTATTATTAACTAGAATAAAGTTGTTTGCAACTAATTGATAATGGGTGCACAATATGTGTGGGGGTAAAGTGTAGAAGCACCCTGTATGCATGCCGAGCACCATGTAATTAGTCGTTTGGCTAATTGCAACTAATGTGCATATAAGAGCAAAGACTTTTTAATATTTTGTTACTAACATCAATATTGTAGCTGCTGTTGTGTTTGTTGTTATTGCTGCTGTTCTTTTATTGTTGTCAATGCCAATTAAGTGAAATTTATGTGCTTCAATAAATTATGAGTGCCGCAGCTGACATATGCGCAGTGTCAGAGTAAACAAGCCAAAAACAGCAAAGCAAACTTTTTGTCCAAGGATACCCTGAAAAATGAGTTGGCTTGATTGGTTGGTTTTCGGGACGACACATGTCGCTAAGGTAAAATAGTTATTAGTGAATATACATATACAGCATATAGAGCAGAATATTTGAACAGAACAGAAGACACATGACACTGTGACGCGTTGCACATACGCCACATTGCCCGCCCCACACAACCACCCAACGGCATTGTACGAACTAATAAAACAATTGAAGTGCTGCGATCATGGTAAGAGGTCGGGCGCGAACGAACCCAGGAACAACCCACAGCAG